GGAATGCCTGGGGCATGCGCCTGGGCCCGCCTCCTAGCCCTCCTCCTTCCCTTCCTGTCCTCTTGAGCCATAACTTCCAGAGAGGTTGTTAGTCTCTAGATACACAGTGACAGTGACAGCACCTGCTGGGGGCATTGAGTTGTCTCTTCAGGCTGCGGAAGAGCTTTGGCTTCAAGACAGGTCTCGGAGAAGGCCACCGCCTGCCCCCGCCATCGGTAGCTGGAGCTTGCATTGCTGGGAGCTGCCAGCACTTCCTGGTGAATTGTGTCCACCTCTGCTGAGCCCCCGTCTTTGAGAGAGAACAAACTAGAGACAGTGCCCAGCTCATAGGAGGGACAGCACTCTCATAGTTTAGCCTTGGTCGACCTACTTTTCTTTCTTTTTAGATAGAGTTTTGCTATAGTGTGCACGTGCTCACCAGACACACACACAGAACGTGAGCGATCCCCCCTGGGGACTGGCCATGCCGCAGTCCCTTCTCCTCCATTCTTCTCCATTCTCTTGGAATTTGGGGAACACACACACACATACCTGGCTTGAGTTTCAGGCCTCTGGGTCTGGGACTCAAACCGTGGTCAACCTGCTGGTCTTGGTCAACCCACTTTTCTTCCAAGTTGCAGTTTTCCGTCTGCAAAATGGGAACAGAAATTAACAAATCTGACCCCACCAGATTGTTATTATAAGATAAGGGATGCAAGGCTGGCGGGTGACACGGTGCTTAAGGGCACTGGACTCCCACCTAGCCAACCACAGTTCTAGTCCCGGACCTGGTGGCTTGCTTTCTCACTTTCCCTCTTCTCTTGTTCTTGCCCTTTCTCACTCTGTCCCTTTCTGGTCAAATTTAAAAAAACAAATTAATTAATTTTTTTTAAAAAGGGTTACAGAAAGCTGATAAACTGTAAAATGCTACTCAGATGTAAAGCAGTATTATCCCTCTCACTTTTTTTCCCCCAGTTTTTTGCTATAGGGCACATGTACTCGCCAGAGAGAGAGGGAAAGTAAAAAATCATCCTTTGGGGCTGGCAGGTGGCGTGGTGGGTAAGGGCACTGGACTCCCACATGGGCGACCTCAGTTTGAGTCCCGGACCTGGTGGCTTGCTTTCTCTCTTTCTCTCTCTCTCTTTCTCTCTCTCTCGTTCTCTGTCTCTCTTGCCAAATTAAAATAAAAAAGCAAATAAAATAAATAAAGTTAAATAATTCTTTAAAAAAAAAAATCACCTTTCATTGGGGATGGCCTCACCATAACCCCTTCTTCTCCAGTCTCCTCTCAGGATTTTGGGCACACGTGCACACATATCCAGTATGGTTTTTCAAGCCACTGAGTCTGGGACTCAAACCACAGAGTCAGCCAGGTAGAACCCAGCCTCCTCCTGACCCGCTTGTTTTTTCACTCGCAGGCCGGGGAAAGGAAAAAATCATCCCCTGGAGGCTGACCGTGCCACAGTCCCTTCTCCATTTTCCTCTCGGGATTTTGGGCGTGCATGCACATGTACCTGGCGTGTGTTTTCAAGCCACTGGCACCAGGACCAAACCATGGTTTGCTAGCTCCCAGCTCCTGGCTAGCCATGGCTGCTAATAACAGGCCTAGGAAGCTTTGTCCCCACTCTCCACGCCATTGGAGACTTAAGACAGAATTGTGGGTTAATCTCTCCAGACGTTGCCTCATATGCTGCAGGTATTTAGCCAGACTGTCAGAACATCCTGGGAGTCTGCTGAAATGAGAGAAAATACTTGCTGCTACCACTGAGTGCCTGTAATATACAGTAGCTCCCCCTCATCTGTGGGGTGTATGTTCCAGCACCCCCAGTGGATGTGAAACAGTGACAGTACCGAACGCTATAGGCTACGCTTTTTCCCAAGATAGCCAAGACAGCTACAGGGGCTGACAGGTGGATAGCTTGTCCATCAAGGATGTACTAGACAGAGAGAAGACTCCCATCCAGGGCAGGACAGAGCAGGACAGGGCCAGCTTCCTTCACACTAATCAGAACAGCGTGTAAAACTTGCACATTGTTTTATTTCTGGAATTTCCATGTAATATTTTCAGACCATGGTTGGCCATGGGTAAGCACAGAAAATGAACCTGCGGATGGGGGACTGCTGTGGCAGGCACTGTGGTCAGGGCTTACCTCCTCTGATCCTCTATCATCCTTTGAGGTAGGTCTTTCTTATTTCTCATTTACTAAAAGAAAACAAGAAAACTGACGCTCAACGAAGTTAAGTCCCTTTTTCCAAGTCATACAGCAAGTTATGTGACAGCCGGTAGTGGAGTGTAATTCTGTTTTATTCTGAAATTGCTTTGCCCACCATACCATGACTCATATGCAGGGGGCGGGTCCTGGGCTGCTCCGGAAACCTCAGGAGTTTCTATGCACTGTGTACATGCAGATCCAGGCCCTGCCTGTGTGATCCAGGCCAAGTGGCTTTCAGCTTCTTCAGGCTGCAGGTACTGTCTCACTGCATCACCTTAGCCAGGCCCAGCTCTGTGGCTCAGTGGTTAGGGGAGCCAGATCCCACATGGCCAACTGTGTAGTTTGAGTTCTGAATTAAACAGTTCTTTTAAAAAAAAAAAAAAATCATAGCCACGTGCTGTAGGAGCTGTCCTTACCTCTTTCACGTTTGAGGTGAGAGGACCTGCCCAAGGTTACAGAACAGTACCTAGCAGAGCAAGAATTCGGTGAAGGCCTAACACGCGGTTCTGTGTTCTCCCCACCGTTTCTCACAAGCCAGCTCTCTATCTGCCATGTCACTCTGGCAGACTTACTGTTCTCAGGTTGCTGGCTGGAGCAGGAGGAGGCTCACTCACTCCTGCTCTCCCTTTCTTCTCCTGCAGCCTCACCTCTTCTTAGAAACCTTGCAGAGGCAAGGTAGATATTTGAAACTCAAGGGAAAGTTTTATGCAATAATTCAAAACTGTCTGGACTCCCCTGCGGAAGCCCGGCCTCCACCTCGTGTCCTTTGTCGGTTTGCGCGGTCACACTGGCCGCATGGTGTGGTGTGTATAGTTTAGGAAAGCTCTTTCTGGACTCTGTGCCAGTGTGCCTTCGAGGCCACTTTGAGGGTTAGAGATGATTAAGAGTCCAGGGTAGCAGGCAGACTCATGGACCGATGGCAGTTCTTTTCCTGGCAGCAGGGCTAAGAGAAACCAGGCTGGAGTTGGGAGTCCTGGGCCTTTTCCTCTCTTGCTCTGTGACCTTGGCTCTGTCAGTCGCTGCCTGCAGACAAGGGTTCTCCAGAGGGAGAGAATGAAAGACCCCTGTCCTTGGCACCGTGCAGTTCACTCTTGAAGTAGCACTTGCTCCCAGTCCAATGTGTCCTTCAGTGCCCTCCTGTGTAGTAGATAGAGACAAGCAGGCATGCATAGATACAGGCATATTACACGGTGTTCTTGCGCGCGTGAATACACACGTATGCGCTATACATGCTGGTCCTCTCATGCCGTGGTATGTCATTCTTTCACCTAACTTGTTTTGGCTATTTTTTTCCTTCTCAGTACTTAGGTTTGCTTTACTAAGTGGCCCTTATTAATTATGCATGCTGTTTTTTGTTTGTTGGTTTGTTTTTGTTTTTGCTTTTTTAGTTTTGCTATAGGGCTCCTGCACACAAGAGACAGAGACAGAGAGGGATGCAAAGTGAGGAATCTCCCCCAGGGACGATGGCCACACTGCAGTCCATTCTCCTCTTGGGATTTTAGACATGCATACACATGTGCCTGGCGTGTTTTTCAAGCCACCAGGTCAGAAGCGAACCACGAAGTAGATCATGTGAAATCCAGCACCTTAACCTCCACACGGCCTGGCTGGCCCATATGTGCCTTGATTTCTAAAAGCCAATCTACACATACAACATTGATTTTAAAATGTTCTTTTCAGGAAAAGAAGAAAAAGAAACATAGAGACAGGAAGTCCTCTGACTCTGACAGCTCAGACTCTGAGAGTGATCCAGGCAAGAGGGCAAGGCGCGCGTCGAAAGACAGTAAAGCAGCGAAGAAGAAGAAGAAGAAGAAGAAGCATAAGAAGAAGCACAAGGAGTGAGAGTAGAAAGAGTGGAGGGGTGGTTGAGTGGATAGGGAGCCAGAGCCTTGGGACTGAAGCCCTGGCCCCAGGAAGGACTAATGAGAATGCGGCTCCCACCCACTGACTTGCCCCCATGGGCGATGGCTGCCCCTAAGGCAGCTTTGGGAGTCAGGGCTGGAGTGGCTGCCTGAGTTGAGTTGTTTTCTCCTAGTCCCTTTCCTAGTGGCCCCTGCCACCCCCTTATTCATTCACCCAACTTCCCGCCTCCAGCAGAAGTCCTGTTTCTCCAGCTGTCACTGCCAGAACGGAGTTCCTCTCCAGGGACCCCAGGTACTGCTGCACAGCTGCAGCCGTTGTCATGGCGAACACAGTGGTTGGCCCCTGCCTGTTCGTCTGTCTTGGGCGGATTGGCCGTGATCTCTGCTCCATGTAACGTGGGCACGGAGAGCCCGGCAGCAGGAAGAACACTGTGCCCGCTTCTCCCACTCCCCCAACATGGCTCCACTATGCTAGAAGTGATGGCCAGTGACCACTGCCCGGGGAGGATGACCTGCGGCGTGGACTAGCTCGGGTGTGACATTTCACAGACCCCTGCACCAGACAGCTGAAGTCAGGACCACTGCTCCACGTGCTGCCTGCTACCGTGGGAGGGTTAGCTCCACTTCCGGTCTCTGCTTAAATTCTTGGGACTAAATGGATGTGTGTTTGGTTTCAAATTCACTTGAAGTTCCTATTCCTATAATCTTTGTTCCTGTGTAACTTACAGACTTAAAGTCACTGAGCCTGCATTTGTTGACAGAAAAACATTTAATATGTTACTTTAGACCTTGGAGAGAGGCCCAGCTGAGGTACAAAGCCAGAGACACAGCAGGCCACAGCCTCCTTGGGAGATCAGTGGAAGCTCTCCCTTCCGTTGTGATCAGGTGACTCTTCCCCAGAGCTGGTACAGTCAAAACCTGTAGCCTGCATGCCGGCAGGGTGCAGAGGCAGGGGCTCAGCAGTCATCTTGCCCAGTGTCATTTTCTCCTACCACCACGACACGAGCCCGCGTTCTGGAAGGGACAGGCCGCAGCGCTGTGCCGAGGAGAGCCAGACCAGAAGCGTTCGGGGCAGGCTGGGGGAAGGCAGCTCAGTAGCTGAGCCTGGAGGATGCCCTGCCATCGGCAGGACTGGTTCTCGGGGCCATGGGGAGGGGCAGTGCAGGTGAGGCGCAGGTACAGCTATTTTATTATTGAACGTGTAAGGCGACCCACTGACTAGCAGTCCCGGAGGCTGTCTAGTCTCCAGTGCCTCTTTCTGAGTGACCTTTAGGGTGTCATTTCAGTCCACACAGTCTGATACACGGGAACAGACTCCCAGCCAGAGTCATGTCGGCAAAGGCAAAGGCAGTGGCGTGGCTTTGTCTCTTTATTGACCTCAGAGCACCCTTTGGGTGAAGTTAAACCACACACACATGGGGACGGAGCCGAGTCTGGGCTGGTGCTGCCAGACCCCCGGAGGTCCCCATCCTGGGTGGTTGTAAAAGACACCGGAGGAGACTGAGGCAGTGCAGGCTGAGGCGAGGTGCAGCCCGTTGGCAGAGGAGCAGTCGGTGACGGTGTGAGCCGCTCACGCTTCTCTCTCGTAGGTGCGGGTGCAGACGGCACTGCCGTGGGTGAGTGTCTGGAAGGAAAGGTAGGATCAGATGGGGTGGAGCAAGAAGGGCAGTGGGGGCACCCTGTGCTCCCCTCGTCCTGAGAACCATCACTGAGCACCCACTCTGCCAGGTGCGCCCCTTACACATCTCCCTCCTGGTTGTACGGCACGTCTTTGAGACGGCACTGGCAGGCCCTGTGAGAGGCGGTCATCTGCTCAGGGTCCTGGCCGTATCTGTCCCTGCACCAGTCGGCTTCCTTCATTCGCTTTATTTTTTTATGATGTCAGGGGACATGCACGAAAGAGAGACGAGCACAGCCCTGGGTGCAGCTCCCACGGGGCCCCTCACGCCACAGGCCTTTCCTCTGGCTCTGGTTCCCTGTGTGCACGCCTGGTATCTAAGGCATCAGGGCTGGGACTCAAACCCTGACTGGCCATGTGGGATTCAGCTTCCTCCCCAGTGCTTAACTGCTATGCCGCAGGACCGGCCCGGCTTCCTTCATCCTTAGTGTCTGAGACACTGCCTGGCATGTAGTAGGCAGACAGGTGAATGAAATGTCCAGAGACTCGGGGAAGGAGTGTGCGAGGCCACCAACTCTCCATTCCCTTCCTCACTCAGGGTACTACCCAGGTCAGAGCCGCGGAGAGCCGGCAGCCTGACCTGCGTGTGTCAGTGTAGCCTCAGGAAGGGAGCTGGATAGTAGGCACCTCTCCCTGAGGGCGGGGGGCAGGCTCGGCCCTGCTTTGTACCTGGTCCCTAGGCCGGGTGAGGTGGGGACGCTGGCGAGAGCTGGGAGAGGTGTACCTGCAGGAGGGGCTCCCTGCTCGTCCGCTCGCCGGGTGCGGGGTGTATGTTGGCTTGGCCTGTGAGAGGTGTACCTGCAGGAGGGGGCTCCCTGCTGGTCCCCAGGCCGGGTGAGGTGGGGACGCTGGCGAGAGCTGGGAGAGGTGTACCTGCAGGAGGGGCTCCCTGCCCAGGCGCTCTACGTGTGCGCGGTTTATTTTGGCTTAGCCTGTGAGCTGGGTGTTAATGACGCCTTTCACAATTGCACGTGGAGATGGGGCTGCGTTCAAAATCACGCAGCCCGTCAGCTGAGATTCAGACCCTGGCCTGCGCACACCCAGTGTCACTGCAGACAGTCCACTGGATCCCACCTCGGCTCCGCCTCCCTGCCTCCCAACCTCTCTGCCTCCCAGGGAGGATGTGGGCTTTCTGGAACAGGCCTGGCTAAAGGGCAGCTGCAGTAACCAGTCAGATGTTGCCTATCTTACCAGGATGAGTTTCCCGTCACTCAGCTCCCGCACGAGCGTCGTCTCTTGCCCGTCCCACTTCTGCAAGTGGATGAGTTTGCCCCCATCCAGCGTGACAATAGACTGTGGAGAGAGAAGATCGAGCTGTGGGCTGAGCCACGACTGAGAGGCAGGGGGGACACAGCCTCTGACCCATCTAGTGATGGTGCAGGCCCAGAGCTTGGGCAGCCCCTCCACCCCACCCCGGTGGGGGAGGACCTGCAGGTACAGGGCAGGTAAGGAGAGGCGGCGGTGCGGTGGGGCCAGGCTGATGCTGTACTCCAGGTGCCGCCCACAGCCCCAGCTCCCTCAGGTGCAGCAGGAGAGACCACAAGCCTGCCCTGAGAGGCAGAAGCACTGGAAAGTGAGCTTCCCACCCTGTGTTCCTGTGTCTTGTCCTGAGCCCGGTGGGGAACCCCTTCAGCCGGCAAGAGGGCAGTGGCCTCAGTCCTCGGACAGGGTGTCCTCGGAGTGCTGTCAGCCCTGCGTCAGATGCCTCTTGGTCCTGTGGGAGCTGCCAGCCTGCACCACCTCTTCTGGCAGCTCTCCCAGCCACTCTTCCATAGGGACTGGTTCTGGGCAAGCCAAGGCCCCTGGGTGACCCTCAGTCGGAGGGTCCAGAATGCTGCGTGTGGTGGGGGGTCTCCTCGTGTGCTGCTCTGTCGCACCTCACTTCCCGCTCCCCGACCCCCAACTTCTCACTCAGCACATCTTTCGACCTGGGTATCCCACAGGGCTGCTGTCGTGTATCCTTAGAGTTTTCACCCATCGAGAAGGTGGCGTGTTCCAGGCGGAAGGGCATGTGCTGGAATAGCCTCTTCCACCCTCTGCCGTCAGCCTCTTGTGTGGCCCTGGCTGGGGCCTTGCGCCACAAGAACTCTGACCCAGTTCTTCTCTGGCGGCTGTGAGGAGGAGGAAGCAGCCTGAGGGCTCATGGATGCTGCCGCGGAAACGCCGAGGGGCCAAAGCCCGTAGTTCTCCCTCCTGTGCGTGGCTGAAGCTGAGAGGCCTGCTGCAAGCTGCCAAGCCAGACCCAGCAGGGCGGGCACTAATCCCAGGGCTGAATGTCCCTTCCGTGTACTGGGAGAGGAGCTCCGGCTTCACGGGAAGACACTGCAGCCAGCCCCAAGAGCACCACCCCATCCTGGGCCCAGCCCCGCCTGCAGCCCACTGGCAGCACTGGAAGTGGTGCAGGAGGTTGGCCAAGTCGGGGGTTGGCGGCTGAAGAGGAAGTCTGTGAACGAGCCTTGGCCTCTTGCTCCTCGCAGCCTCCTTTGCTGCTGGCGGCCAGGATGACCTCGCTTGGTGGAGGCCTGATGGAGGTTCTGCGGGGCATCCTTTCCGAAGCACTGCAGGCCACAGCCCTGGCCACATGATTCCCCCCTCTCAGCAAGAGCTCTACACCTTGCACGAGGCCGCCTAGCTGGAGCCAGGTAGCTGCTGAGGTCAGAGCGTCCTGGCTCGGTGCTGTCCGCCCCAGAGGCAGCTTGGGTCAGCTCCCCGGGAAAAAAGGCAGAGCCGACATGCCTCCAGTGCCCAGAACATTCCTCACTGAACAGACTTCACGGACTATTTTACTTAAAGCCTGTCCCCTGGGCACCTCGGCCCCCTGCGCTCCCCAGGCCCTCCCCGGCTTACCTTGACCTTCCTGTCATCTGCTGTCGTCTCATCGAACTCCTCCCCCAGCTTAAAGCTGATCTCCGTGTTCTTGAAGGTGCTCTGTGTCTTTATGGTGATTTTGTCCCCGTTCTTCTCAATGATGGTGGTGGGCTTGGTCATGCTGGCCACCTGCCTGGTGGCAAAACCCACACCTGAGGGTGGAGAGGGGTGATGAGTACATAAACGGGCAGAGGCAGCGTGAGCTCAGGACCAGCTCAGGCCTGGGGAGGGGAAAGGACCAGAGCTTTCGAAGCCTTTGGTCATGCTTTAATTCGGCGCTCCCAGGCTGGCTGCACCGGGGTTAGAGCTGCTTGTGAGTGCCCTGTGTGGGGACAGCTGTGCGCACCTTATCCCGTCCCGCCCTCCACCCCCTATCCCTGCGGGAGTGATCCTGTTACCCTGCTTTCTGGGTGCAGAACTGAGACGGTTGAAGCCCAGAACGGTGTGACCCCAGAGCCGACTGCTGCTCTCCCCTTTGGAGGTTGTGCCCGACCTGAGGTGCCCTCGTGTCCTTGAGCCCTGTACCTGGCAACAGGACATGGGCAAAGCCTTCCCTTATGACCTGGGTGCTGGGACAGGGAGCACCTGCTCCACTGCACAGGTCTGAGTGGCCCAAAGTGTCAGCGACAGCTCTCCTGACCCCAGTCAGGCCCTGTGGTGACTCTTGCTCAAGCGTGCTTCGCTGGTGCTGGGCAGAGCCCTAAGTGTCCTACACGCAAGGGAGGTGCAGAGCTCTCGGCCTTCACTCTGCGACTTCCCTGGGATCTGCACTTGGGCCATTGACCTCGTCCTGACTGCCCTGTTCTCCGCCTCAGCAGCCGGCACTGAGCTGGCCATCCGGCGGACTCTAGGCTCCAGAAGTGCTCACTGCCCAGCGAGCACGTGGTCCAGGCACCAGGGCCCCACTGGTTGCCCCTGTGGCCTCAGCACGAGGGGCAGGGGCCGCCTCCGCAGCTGTGCTGATGCCCGCCCGCCCTCCCAGGCGTCACGGTGTGTCAGGCCAGTCACTGTCCGTGGCTCAGAGCGGCCTTGTCACTGATGCGGCACAGGAGTGGGGGTCGAGGAAGGGAAGCATGGTAGGATGAGTAGGGCTCAGCCAAGAGAAATGAAGACAGAATACTGGCTGACAGAATTTAGGGGGCCCAGGGGAAGTTAGGCTCTGCTTCGAAATAAAGCCAGGGAGATTTACTGAGCATTGAGGGCCTCAGCCTCTCCACCTAACCCAGAGAAGCAGGGTGGGCGGACTCGGCCCCTAACCTGGGGACCTGCCCAGAGATGACAGGAGGTCCTCAGGGACAGCAGTCCCGGCCTGAACTGGAGTACATTAAGGGGACAGGTAAGGTGGCTGTGGCTGCCCCACGTGCCTGCTCTGGAAGAAAACCTGGGCACTATCAGCAGCAGCCCAGGGCCCCTGTCTCTCGAAGAGTGGCTGGGACCCTGGACTCGCTGGGCATGGTGCCCAGAGTAGGGGAAGGGCACTGGGAGCTTTGGTCCTGGGCCATGCTGGTGCACTGCTTCAGGAGAGGGTTGGGAGCAGAGGCAGGTGCGTAGGTGGCCCTGCCCTTCGTGGGGGAGAGGTGTGGGACCTGACAACCCAGGCACCCTTCGGGTTGCCGCAGCCTGCGGGAGGAGGTTTCTATCCCGGTTGAAAAATTCC